GAGTGCACCTCGGCCTCCAAGTAGCTGATATTACAGGCGTGCGCCACCGTGCCTGGCTAATTTTGGTATCTTTAGTAGAGGGAGGGTTTCACCATGTTGGCCAGGCTAGTTTTGAACTTCTGACCTCAAATGATCCACCTGCCTCAGCCTCCCAAAGTGCTAGGATTACAGTCATGAGCCACCACACCCAGCTCTCTGGTCCTCTTCTAAGGGCTGCGGATACCTCATATCATTTAATCCCATCAACATTGTGTAGATCTCATTATCCATAGGCATGGATATTACAGAGAGGAAAAACTGAGGCTCAGGATAACTGGCCACCAATAGGAAGGGACCAAGCTGTGTCACTACACACTTCTAAAAAAAGAAAAAAGGAAGGGGCCAAGCTGTGACACAGCCTGTGCTCACATGTTGTAACCCTGGCAGACTCCCCCTCCCCATCCCGACCATAGGTCAAGGAGCCAGGCCAGGACCTAAGCACAGTTGGTGTCTTGTGGACATGAATTTATTAGAGGGGACCAGGACCAGCGTGGGTAAAGCTGCAGGCTGGGAGGAAGGGGCAGGGGTTGGAGCACGGCTGATGGTGTGTGGGTCAATGGGCCAGTAGGCATGCCATTCTTCACCCTACAGAGCTTCAGTGCCCAAGGCGTGGCAGAAGCTTTGGAAAAACTGGGGAGAGGAGAGAGTGAGGCTCAGAGAGGAAAGCTGCCAAGCTCACACAGGAGGGGCGGCAGCACTGCGATCCCAGGCCCACGGCCCTCCCTCTCATCCTGTTGGTCCTCCCTCCTGCCTCCCAAGCTCCCACCCCCAGATCGAAGCTCCTGTCCTGCCCCATCCTGTACTCACTGCGGAGGCAGTAGGTGTCAGATTCCAGTTGCATCTGGGAGGGTAAGACGAGGAGAAAGTCCCCGTCCCAGGTGTTTTTGAATGCTGAGAGAGAATTTTGGGAGGGAAGGCGATGACACTCCGAGGTCAGAGAAGAGCACTTGAATGACACAGGCTTAAGTGGGTGGCAGCTGCAGTGCTGGGGCAAGCCACAGGGAGAACAGTGGGGTGGCGAGAGGCCAGGGCCCCGGGGAAGGCGGAAAGGGACCTGTGGACAGACCCTCTGAACCCCGCCATGGTGGGGGCGCCGGTCCCTAGTCCAAGCCCAGTGGAATGGCTCCTTTGCCATGACCTGGGAGAGGCAGAGTGGACAGTAAGTGGGGTGGGAACCCCAGCCTTTCCCACACCCCAGGCTGCCCCCAGCCTCACCTCCTCACAGCACTGGCGGCTCACGACAGCCCGGAAACCCATCCGTGCCCACAGCTTATCCCTCTGCTGCAGGAACTTCCCCACTCGTAAACACCAATCTCTTCCCAGGGCCCAAGGAAAAATCTCACATTTGGGCCCCTCCAGGTCCTCCTCCATGTCGTTTGCAAGGTACCTAGCCACAGAAGCACGGGGTCAAGGAGCGGAGGCCACAGCATCACCTCGCCTCATCAGACACCTCCAGCAAATGCCTCCACTCCCTGTCCCTGCCACTCACAGGGCCAAGAACAGGCTGCTGTGGGTGTACTCGCTGAGCTTCAGGTGGGCGCGCTGGAAGTAGACCAGCACCATGGCCAGAAGATACTGCAGAGACAGACGGGGGGCGGGGGATTGGTTATCCTCTGAGGAGGAGGGGTTTGCACCCAGGTTCATTTGTATCCAAGGAGGTTTTGCTGCAGGGAAAGAAAGTCAGGAAAATAGTGGGGAGGGGTGTGCAAAGATGAGGGGTAAGGGTGAAAGGTGAGCAGCTGTCCCTACCTGACCAGGGCACTCCATAAAGTGGCGGCATTCAATCCCCACCAACTCAACCTGACCCTCAGGAGACCCCCAGCCTGCAGCCCCACTGTGCTCCCTCACCTTATCTGAAATCCGGAAGCAGGGGTCTTTGGAGAGGAATTCCTGGACAAAACTGTCCTCTGAAGGTAGAGAAGAGAGGATGGACGCAGGTTACCACGGCCTCCATGGAGAAGAGTGGCATCAGAAGCTGCAAAGCTCAAGCCACCACTCAACCCTCTTTTTTTTTTTTGAGACGGAGTTTTGCTCTTGTTGCCCAGGCTGGAGTGCGATGGCACGATCTTGGCTCATTGCAACCTCCGCCTCCCTGGTCCAAGCAATTCTCCTGCCTTAGCCTCCCAAGTAGCTGGGACTACAGGCATGTGCCACCACGTCCGGCTAATTTTATAGTTTTAGTAGAGACAGGGTCTCTCCATGTTGGTCAGGCTGGTCTTGAACTTCCAACCTCAGGTGATCCACTCACCTCAGCCTCTCAGAGTGTTGGGATTACAGGTGTGAGCCACTGCGCCTGCCTTCTTTCTTTTCTCTCTTTTTCTTTCTCTTTTTTTTTTTCCCTCTGTCTCTCTCTCTTTCTTTCTTTCTTAATATAAATAGAGATGGGATCTCACTATGTTGATCAGGCTGGTCTTCATCTCCTGGCCTCAACTGATCCTCCCATCTCAGCCTCTCAAAGTGTTGGGATTACAGGTGTGAGTCATGGCACCTGGCCCTGAACCCAGTTTCTGAGAGGACCCCCCACCACCTGCCTAAGCTGGGTCACCTGAGAGGGAGAGGGCAGAGGCCTCAGATGGCTGTGCAGGCAGGTGAGACCCCATACTTCACCTCTGCTTTCACACTTGGCCTCACAACCCTCCCGTGCTAACCCCACAAACTCACCCAGAAGGTTGAGGAAGGCCTGGAGCTCTTTGTGCTGGCGAAAATGGAGGAACCCATTGCCCCCACCTTGCCGGCTGCAGCCCCCCAGCTTTACCTGGGTTTTAGCTACAGGGGAAGTGGTGGGGTCTTGGGAGTCATTCATCTCATAGGAGATGGAGATGGGGCAGGGTGACCTGTAGAGAAAGGAGGCTCAGGATTTACCATGTACCCCTGTGACTCCCACGAATCAAAAGGGTGGTGACAAGGCCCAGGACGGTGGAGGGGTGGGTGCGGAGACTTGGGGGCTCAGAACATAAGGCAGCCAGGCTGCAACAGGAGTGGGTGAGGCTGGAAAAGCAGCAAAGAGTTGTAGGCTGCAGCACTCCCGCCCTCCTCCTGGCACCCCAGGACAGGCAGAGTAACAGCAGCAACAAGCACTGCTGAGGGTTTCCTAAGTGCCTGGAGCTGTGCTTAAGGGCCTTATCTTATTTCATCCTGCTAAGGAGGTACGTTCAACACAGACCCATTTTCAAACGAGGAAACTGAAGGCTGAGGCCTCACACCAGTTAAAAGTGAAGCCCTTGGCCTCCAAAACCCAAAGAGGTTTTGTTTGTTTGTTTGTTTGTTGAGACAGTCTCTCTCTGTCGCCCAGGCTGAAGTGCAGTGGCACAATCTTGGCTCACTGAAACCTCCTCCTCCCCAGTTCAAGCCATTCTCCACCCTCAGCCTCCAGAGTAGCTGGGTTTACAGCCATGCCACCATGCCTGGCTAAGTTTTTTTATTTTTGGTAGAGACGGGGTTTCACCGTGTTGGCCGGGCTGGTCTCACACTCCTGACCTCAGGTGATCCGCGCGCCTCGACCTCCCAAAGTGCTGGGATTACAGGCGTGAGCCACTGCGCCTGGCAAAAACAAAACAAAACAAAACAAGAGTTTAACTGCTTCTTCAGGCCCCAACTCACAACCACCCCGGACCCCTCACCAAAGCAAAATTGAAAGGGCCACTGATCCCTTACACCGAGAGGAAACTGAGGTCCACAGGGAGGAACGAAATTAAAGAAATACCTGGATTTAGAGCAAGCTGAGATGGGGTCACTTCAAACATTTCATGCTCCTGTCCTAAACCCACCCTCATCCCCGAGAAAAGAGACGCCAACCACAGGGCTGAGGAAAAAGTGCCGTCGACCACCCCGGGGCCAATTTGGGCCTCTTCATGTAGACGCCCACAAGCAGAAGCAGCCCAGCCTCCTCCTGCAGAGAGAGCCTTACCCGGCCTCAGGAACTGCCCACAGCATAAAACCCAGGCCGCCCCCTGCGTGCGCTTATATACCCTGAGGGCTGCCCGCCCAACGCAGCCTGTCCACCAATCAGGGCCTTCCTGGGGGGCGTGGTTTGGCCTACACCGCCTGCCTCTCTGCCTGTGAACCCAGTCGGCACCCAGCTGCGGCTCCCCAGGGTGAAAGCCTCTCCAAAGCTTCATCAGCTACAAGAGGGGTGAAGGCAGGCCAGCTGGACCCCAAGGCCTGAGACACCATAGGAACGGCAGCGAGCTAGGATCCCGGTTACCCTCTTGACAAATGCAGCGCCAAGGTGCTGAGCCGAGAAATGAGGCCTGGGCTGCGAGGGCCCGGTGGGCGAGTTTTGATTCAATGATTGTGCCTTGCTGGGGCAGGGTCTCTGGCTCCCTATGGGTGTCTCTGAATCTCTTGGCCTCCCTGAGTCTCTGAATTTCACTGAGGCTCCCTGGGTCTCTCTTTTCTTTCTTTTGTTTTTTTTTTTTATTTTATTTTTCCCCTGGTAACACAGAACAAGCTGCCTGGGTCTCACACTTGCTCTTAGCCAAAAGGCCGAGAAGCGATAGGCTGCCTGGGTCTCCATGGGCCTCCGAGTTTTTCCGTTTCTTGCCTCTGGTGTCTGGATGTCTCTGGATCTCTGGGTCCTTTGATTTCTCTGGATCTCTGGGTCTCTGGTCTGTCTGTGTTTCATGGTCTCCCCCTGGCCACCTCCCAGGCTCCCTGAGGCCAGCTGGTCTGCATCAGGCCACCCTGTTTGTGTGTGTGCACGCATGTGAAGATGGCCTCCCTTAGAAACGAAGCAGTGAGCCGGTAGCCTCCATAGCCAGCTCCCAAAACGCCTACTGACGAGGCTGTGACGGAGTCAACTCATGTGTTCCTCACAGCGAGCCCATTAAGTTGATGAGAATGATAAGATGCCTCATTTTATCAACGAACAAACAAATAACACGCAGAGTTTGGGCACTGAGAGGCTGAGTAACTTCCTGCCAGCCACTCCGCTGGTAAGTGGAGTAGAGCTCCAGCCTGGCGGCTGGGTGCACATGCCAGGTGGCCTGGCTGTGTGGTCCATGGCTGTTCCTTCACACAGCCTGCACAGAGAAGGTGTCCCATGAAACTGAATGAATCCCCTCGACCAGCTGTGGTTTCAACCTTTCTCCTCTCCTTGCAATAAATAAGGTTCGAGATCAGGAAGGGGTAGCAAAAAGAAGTCTGGGAGTGGGCTGGTCACTCTAGCCTTGGGAGGGCGTCCAGGCTCATTTCCTTAAGTGCCAGCCTTGGAGACCTGACACTGATATCCCACACTGGGCACAATAACTTTTTTAATTTTTTTGGAGACAGAGTCTTGCTCTGTTGCCCAGGCTGGAATGCAGTGACGCAATCTCAGCTCACTGAAACCTCCGCCTCCCAGGTTCAAGCAAGTCTCCTGCCTCAGCCTCCCAGCTGGCACTTCAGGTGTGTTCCACCATGCCTGGCTAATTTTTTTTTTTTTTTTTTTTTGAGACAGAGTTTCGCTCTTGTTACCCAGGCTGGAGTGCAATGGCGCGATCTCGGCTCACCGCAACCTCCGCCTCCTGGGTTCAAGCAATTCTTCTGCCTCAGCCTCCTGAGTAGCTGGGACTACAGGTACGCGCCACCATGCCCAGCTAATTTTTTGTAGTTTTAGTAGAGACGGGGTTTCACCATGTTGACCAGGATGGTCTCGAACTCTTGACCTCATGATCCACCCGCCTCGGCCTCCCAAAGTGCTGGGATTACAGGCTTGAGCCACCGCGCCCGGCCTAATTTTTTTTTTTTTTTGAGATGGAGTCGCTGAGCTTCAGTGCAGTGGTGTGATCTCAGCTGACTGCAATCTCTGCCTCCCAGGTTCCAGCAATCCTGCCTTAGCCTCCTGAGTAGCTGAGCTTACAAGCACCCACCACCATGCCTGGGTAATTTTTCTATTTTTAGTAGAGATGGGGTTTCACCATGTTGGCCAGGCTAGTCTCAAACTCCTGACCTCAGGTAATCCACCTGCCTGGGCCTTCCAAACTGCTGGGATTACAGGCGTGTGCCACCACGCCTTGCTAATTTTTGTTTTGTTTTTGAGATAGTCTTGCTCTGTCACCCAGGCTGTCACCTAGGCTGGAGCGATCTCAGCTCATTGCAACCTCTACCTCCCGGGTTCAAGCAATCCTCCCACCTCAGCCTCCCTAGTAGCTGGAATTATAGGCAAACGCTACCATACCCGGCTGATTTTTATATTTTTTTAAGAGACAGAGTTTCACCATATTGGCCAGGCTGATCTCAAACTCCTGACCTCAAGTGATCTGTCCACCTCAGCCTCCCAAAGTGCTGGGGTCACAGGCGTAAGCCACAGCGCCTGGCCCACAGTTTGGCTTTGACTCTGCTGTACATCTTCTGCATCCCAGAACCCTGGCAGGAGAGGGCTCTGGGATATAGAAGACATGAAGCAGATCATCAAAGCACCTCTTTGATGCTTTCAAAGCTCCAATGTGGTTCTGCCATCGTGCTTTTTCATCTGGTGTCCCCCTGGTAGGGGCAGCCTCTGTTGCCAGGGTTCTGGGACACAGAAGACATGGGCAGAGTCAAAGCCAAACTGTGAAGGGCATGTAATATGAGGAAGAAATAAACTTTTGAAAACCTCTGAGACTGGAGGCTTATTATGTACTGGATCTCTATTTGTTGCTGTACCAAATTACCACAAACCTAGTGGATTAAAACAACACCTATTTATTACTTTACTGTTCTAGAGGTCAGAAGTCCAAAATAGGTATCACTAGGTTCAAATCCAGGTGGCAGCAGGGGTTCCTCGCTCTGGGAGTTCTAGGATGCATTTTCTTGCCTTTTCCAGCTTCCAGCGGCTGCTTGCATTCCCAGTTTATGACTTCCTTTTTCCCTCTTCAAAAACAATAACTTGGTGTCTTCAAATCTGTCTGACTCTGACCCCTCTTCTGTCTCTCTCTCTCTCTCCTCTCTCTCTCTCTTCCCTCTCCCTCCCTCTCTCTCTCTCTCTCTTTCTCTTTCTTTTTTTTTTTGAGACGGAGTTTCACTCTTGCTACCCAGGCTGGAGTGCAATGGCGCGATCTCAGCTCACCGCAACCTCCACCTCCTGGGTTCAGGCAATTCTCCTGCCTCAACCTCCTGGGTAGCTGGGATTACAGGCACGCGCCACCATGCCCAGCTAATGTTTTTGTATTTTTAGTAGAGACGGGGTTTCACC